ATCGCCTGTGATGTGGATAAAGTGCTATGGCCAGATCCAGCTAGGTGAAGAGATGATGCTTAGGATGTTTTTCTATTTTTTTTTTTTTTACTTTAAACTCATGCTTTTTTGTCTCCACATGTTTCTGTTTGTGTACTATATTGTATTTAGAATATGTTTTGATTTTCAGTGCAAAATGCAACCTTTGGAAAAGCATGGATGTATTGAATGGTTTTACAATGTGGTGAGAAATATTTTCATCAATGTACAGTACTGGTCTTGTGTTTATATATTTTTTTTAATATATATTCATGTACTTTAACAATATCTCTGAAAAAATCAAACCCAGACTATATCATTAGAAAAGTATAAAAGTTACAAGTGTTTAAGAGCACAGCAGTGTGTAAATTAAGCCGGGCTCACACTGCGCTTTTTTTATTTTTTAATATATATAAAGTCCTTTAGGATTCTACTTGTCAGACTGTACGAACATGATAATCATGTCACACTGTGGGATCTCAGTTGTCATTAATGTCAGACTGTACGACAGTCAAGACGCGTAAAAACGGGTGAGCGCAAGAAAAGTTGTCCAGAGTTTTACCTTATCAACCCATACAGGTTCAGTGACTGTGAGCTGCATTTGCATGCAGGGCTGTAATGTTGGCTATCATTAAAAGTATATGAATGGTGGCAATACCGGCGTATTTAAGAAGAATAGTGTAGGCAGCACTACACATCCACATGAAAACAGCAGCGCAACTGGTGTTTATCATAGCAAAGGCAACATATCAGATGAATTCCGTGAGCGGAGGACGGGAGCACCGGAGTTTATGGCAGATCTCTAGCATTAATTCTGATCATGGCTTGCCTTGAAAAACGGAGACAGTTTGATGTTCGTCGTAGGAGATGTCACACTGCAGGACTGTGCGCCAAATCTTCTGACACTGCCAGAAGTTCATCGGAGGTAAAATTCGATCGCAATGGCCATTAATCGGCTGTCGGTGAACATGTCAAACTAACAATCAAAGACTACAGATTTTAGCCAAGGATTATAGGAATCTTTTAGGATTTTCAAAATGTGTCTCAGACGACCAAATCGTGGGCAAAATCGCACTGTGTGAGCTGGACTTTAATCAAACAGAATCAGAATGTATGAACCATATGTGTTCCATACGGTGTCAAAGTTGGGTTTTGTTAAATTAATGGAAAGTTTTGAATGAAGTGTTTCATTTTGCAAAAGATCTGAGGTGTTCTGCTACTTGTGTGTGTGGATCTGTGAATTGTGTGTTGTGTTTTGACAAAATGAGCCTTGATTATAAAAAAACTGTAAGAAATTTAAGGTTGCAAAGCAAAAACAGACCATGCATAAGCTCAGATAACTCAATCTAAATGGGAATTAATTACATTTGATCTAATGATAAATTGTTAATGAGGCCAGCTCAGTTGAAATGAACAAAGAAATTTCTGCAGTAAGTAGGTACGTTTCAGTTATTGTTTAAAGCACTTAATAATGATCAATGAATGCAAAGGAGAAGTATGTAACTAAAATATTAGTGATTATTCACATGTTCCTTAAAACTCCACTCTAGACTTTTCATGTTTAAAACTGAAAAATGTTCATAAATGTTGTTTATGACAAAAATGAACATGACTTTCAAATAAGTGATTCAGTTTCATGCTTACTTTATCTTTACATATTCTATATTATATTAATTTAGTGTGACAGCTTTTGTATTTGTAGTGTGAAACAAGGAGGAGATTTTAGGATTACAGCAGAACCACAGAAATGTAGGTCACACACATGTGTTGGATTGATTGATCAGCAGCTTAGGATATGCCAAAATCAAGCTTGTAGCGTCTAAAGCCTACATGAGTGGAAAAAGTGGTTATGTATCTTGAGGCCATAGGTGTCAGTTGTCTTTGTATTTAAATGGCTTTACTTGGTAAACGCATATCCACACAGATCTGAACAGCATCTGGATCTTTTGTTTTCGGCACTGCAACAACAGGGGAAACCCATGGTTTGGGCCTTCCACATTTTCAATAATGTCCAGTTTTTCTAGTCGTGTAAGCTCAGTCTCTGTGCGTTTCCTGATGTGAAAGGGGACCCTGTGATGAGGTTGACTAACTGGGGTGATAGATTTATTGATGTGAAGTTTAACTTGAAAGTCTTTCCATTTGTCAGCATCATGGTGGTTATCATATACTCAGCAACAAGGCAGTTCACATTGGGTGTATTGTGGGAAATGTGGACAGGCACCTGGTGAATTTAGATGTTCAAGACTTGTTTGGATTTCACTCTGTTCACTACTTTGATAAGACCTAACTTATAAGCAGTATTGTAACTAAATAATGTGGTACTTCCTCCCTTGTGAGAAATTGTGACTTTGTTTCACGTACTTCTGTAACTTTTTCCAAGGACAGGTGTAACAAGGACCAGCTGGTAAGTGCTGTGCAGGTAACCCTCAGTCCCCGATCTCAAAAGACACACTAGCAACTGACACTGGAGGCTGCAGTCCTTACGTCCTTGTTAGCACGCCCGCCGACCATGCCAGCGACCCAGGTTCAAGTCCAGCTCGGAGCAGGCCGGTTAGGCCTGGAGGGGTTACACAGGCAGAGGAGTCTGGGACGCATAGGCAAAAATAGTCACATCTGCTTTACTCGGGACAAGTGGATCACACAGAGACTTGAAGGTTTTTTTTCTAATCTAGAATGTTGACACCTGCACCTGTATTAATCACTGCTCTGATTTTTCTACCTTTGATTTTTCTTTTTTTTATGTGGGTTTTTTGTTAGCATTTGGAATTGTGTAGAGGTATAACAGCTGGCTCATCTTGAACCAAATGGAGCTGTTGTTTGCTTTAACCGCCTCCCTGTCTGTAATGATAGTCAGATGAAGTGCTCTGATTGTCCACCTGAGGGCACTCCATTCCATGTAATTGTCATTTTGTCATGGACTTCATTTCCCACAAGCCACTGCCTGGACTTATGCCTGATTGAGCACACCTGTTCCTAGCTATCTGGTTACTGCTGCCTATGGGCCCCGTCCACACAGAGACGCATTTAACTGTATACGTAAAGGTTTTGTATTGTATCGGCATTTCGTCCAGATGGATCCGGCGTTTTGGGAGCGTGAAACTGCTATTTTTTGAAACCAGGTCCCAGAGTGGATAAATCTGAAAACGACACCCTTGTGTTTTCGTGTGTACAGCCAATCCATATATTTTGTGAAACGATGATGTCATCACCCCACGTCTCGCCCCTAGTCAGACACCGCTACGTCATGTAACAGCAACAACAACATGAACAAACAATGAACGATTGTCTTTAATTTAATAACATTAACACAGATTAATAAATGTATTGTTCAATGTTTGTTTTCTTGTTGTGTTGAGTTTTTATACAGCGCGGTTTATACAAGGTTTATGTGCATGCTCCAAGTCTTCTTCTCCATTTTCAGTGTATCTCTGTGGCAGAATCACAGCGCCACATACTGGTCTGGTATGTAAAGTGCCTTGCGAAAGTATACATTTTTTTCACGTTTTGTTATTGTCAGTAATTAACAATCGGTCCCTATAGATTCTCTTTGCCACCTGGAAAATTCTCAGTCCCTCAAAGTGTATAACGGCCGGGAAGCAAGAAAACACACATTCAGTGGTATTCTCAATACTTCAACTTTATTCATAGATACAAAGATATTATATAGGCATATGTCGAGGGGAGTCTCAACCCTTTAACCAATGAGGATATAGATGACATACATATAGGATGTTGGCCAAGAATATGTGTTATACAAAATGGCCACATGTACAG